GGATCTAGAATATAAATATATACAAATGTCCCAACCCGACTAGAGTTAGGGTGCACAATACAAAAAAATACATCCAAAGCCACTATATCAAGTAGATGAGACAAACAAAACATCAGCAAAAGTCAACTCCATCTACCAGCTGCAGACTCACCACTAGCCACCACTTATCCCTGCTCTGCTCCCATACATAGTATGATCATCGCAGTCCAACCACATGGAAACAACAAAAGGGTAAGCTAGTATAAAAAGAACAACATACAGGAAGATTTAAGTAATATAAACAACTACTACTATCAACACCTCATCAACATACATCCCGTCAATTTTACGGCATAATCACCAATAAGCATACAATGCGTCGTCACGCATATCAACTCGGAGATCTCCTACAACAACTCAGCCTTTCGGCCTACATCAACTCAGCCTTGCGGCCTACAACAACTCAGCCTTGCGGCCTACATCAACTCAGCCTTGCAGCCTACAACATCAAATATCAACATACAGCACAACGCAACTTTACAGCTCAACATATCAACTTACAACAATATACAACTGATACAACTCAACATATCAACTTACAACAATATACAACTGATACAACTCAACATCAACAAGCAGCGTTAACCACAAGTCATCACATTATAATCAACAACTTCTACTTAAACTCAACCCAAACAACCTCTAACATCCATTAGTTAAATCACATCTCCGCGCCCAGCGCACTCGTGGTTGCGCCCAGCGCAGTTCAACCAGAGAGCACCAGGGGGCCAGCGCGCCCAGCGCAAGCATGCCCGCGCCCGGTGGGACCCAGCCAGAGAGCCCAAGGCTCACTCGCGCCTGGCGCAATACCAATTGCGCCCGGCGCCCACAAGGCAGAGACTCCCAAGGAGTCTCATGCCCAGCGCGACAAGGGCCGCGCTCAGCGCAGCACATCAATATCTGCATCCAGCACAGCTAGGTAGTATACAACACAGCTTACTACTCACAACTCAGATCAACAATCTATAGTACAACAATATTTTAATTCAACATGAAAATCATTCATGACAACCCAGCTCAGCACAGCAATATATATATCTATTACAGCGTAGCATTTCATCATTAACAGCATATACAACATATATCATATTCTACACATAATACGGCTCATCCACCTTGTTTACAACTCATCAATCTTGCCAAATTACCCACCCAAACAACACCAATCAACCTAAGCACCTACGACAACTTTCAACTTAACCAAATCACTAACTGTGAAATGACAACCTTCACAGAAAATAGCGCATCAGGAGTTATACTACTCCTTCCATGCTCATCCTTATCTCATATGAAAGATAAGAAGATTTCCTACAACACTCATGAAGACACTAAGTCTTAATTCCTTCATCTACCTTGTCAAAATGATAAAAACCGCAACAGCTATAAGCAATGCTGGCAACTTGATCCCTCTTCACTAAAACAGCCATATCTGGAGTTCTAGAACTCCTTTTTGGTGCTTCCAACGCCATTGGAAAGCTAAGATCCAAGGCTACAACTTTTATGAAGACTACAAATTCAAATTCTGAAAGAACAAAAGCGCTCAGCGCCTCCCAAGCGCTCAGCGCTTTACCTCCAGGGATTCTCTTCTAGCTCTCTGCCCCTAAAGGGCTCAGCCCTTCAAACTGGCTCAGCCGTTTCAAAAGCGCTCAGCGCTTTAAAATGCCTCAGTCGTTTGGTTCCAGAAACTCTCCCCTGTCACGCAGCCCCTAAAGGGCTCAGCCCTTCAAAACGGCTCAGCCGTTTGTGACAGAAACACAGTCCCTCCTCCATTTTTGAACAACAACCTGCAAAATCCAACAGCCCAAACACATGCAAACCCTCCAAAGAACCACATTTTCATCCAACAACACAAAACCCAAATCATTTTCGGCATGCAACCACAAACGCATCAAAATCCCCAAATTTTCATCATAACCCCGAAACCCCGAAAATGGAAACTTTACAAACACAGCCATCAATTTCTCAAGAATCAGACACATCTGTGAGTTTCTAACTCACTCAACAACAACCAGCATAAAAATCCTAGCTTCCCTTACCCCGGTGCGAAAATCCGAGCTCCGGGAAGAAGAAACGGAGAAAAAGCTTGAACGAACGGAGAAAAAGAGAAACAGCTCAGCAATCCACGCTCCAGCTAGTTTCGAAACACTTACTCAGCACCTTCGATCCAAAAAGAGCACCACAAAGAGTTTAAGAGCAAAGAAAAGGGATGAATGAGGCAAAGAGAGTGAAAATAAGGGTTGGTTGTGAGGGAAGGGAAGAAATAAACGAGAAGGGGTCTCATAGTAGGCGAGGAAGAGGATGGAGCCGTGGGCGAGGTGGAGGGCGGAGAGGGGCCTGGCGGGGTTGGAGAGGTCAGAGAATGAAGTGAAGATGCAGCGCGAAACCCTAGCACAGAGACAAAATGTGTGAAGAAGCTAAAGGGCTTCCACGTGAGGTAATACTACATCGGTTATTTTGAAAACCGATGTAGATTTACTTGTAAATATTTACAAAATTGCCACTGCACATGTAAATCTACATCGATCCAGTTAAAAACGATGTAAAATGCTCAATAATTACATCGGTTTTGTACATAACCGATGTAAATTTGCTTTACATTCAACTCATATTTACGAATATGCCACCGCATCCAATTTTTACATCGGTTCTACCAAAACCGATGTAGAATTGACGATGTTAAATAGTAACTTTCTAGTAATGATTCCACCAAAGACCTTGAATCCTGACTTGTTCACAAAGTAAGCATTCACTTTCCCACCATTTATGGAAGCATAAGGTCTCAAGACGTTCTTAGAACTCAAGTGGACATATTACCTTGATTTGGTAAGACTCTTTAACTATTTATCTTGGAGTAATAGATGGATTTCAACTATTCTAGTGAAATGGATTCTTGTTAACCTTGATGGACCCAATTTGGTTGTCTTAGGGGTGATGGGTCAACTAAACTCAACTTTAATGATTTTGATGGGTCTAGTGACTTGACCACCTTTAGGAGTTGTCAAAGAAACCTTGAGACAAGAAACTATAGTAAGTTTTTGAATGAAGGAATGGAAAAATAATAATATCTTAATCTATTTTATTATTGCTTGGATGCTCAAACCTAGACCACACAATCATGCTCAAATATCCAAAGATGATTTGATTATCATATATGTTATCAAAAATAGAATGGAAATATATGGGGTATTTGTTGAAAATGATTGTTCCTAGAAGGCTAGGAGGAAGGAAGATGGTTCATATCCTTATACCTTATTATTGTCTAACAAGTTTGAAATTACTATAGTTGATTTCTCTGATGAAAAAAAAAATCATTCTCTATCCCTTTAACAATAATAGAAAGACATCTTTGTACCAGATGGGAATGAAGACTCAAGAAAATAAACAGATTTTTCAAACCTCAAACTCTTAATCTTATGGCTGATGAGGATGAAGTTGTTGGTGACAAAGTAGGAAATGAGCCAAAGTAGAAGTTAGTGTCTCCATTTAAGCAGATTATGATTGTCAAGATGGATGCAGTTATGGAGGCATATACGATGCATGAAACCAATTTTTTTAGAGATACTCGACTACTTTGATGATATACAACATGAAGTGGACAAGATCAAATGTCACTTGGGAATTGAGGATGACTTTGATTGATGATTTAGTGACTAAGATTTCATGTTCTTTATGATTATTCGATTTTTAGTGTTCTTGGCTTGTTATTTTGTTATGTTGTTGAACAGTCATGTTTCTGTGTTTTGTGTTTTGTTTTTGGATGACTATATTGTTTGGATATTTTTACGATGTTCAAAGGGGGGAAAATGTATTGCCTTATATTTTGCATGTTTTGAAAGCATGTGTGAAAGAAAAAAATGACTAGTGTGCATGTTAAAAATGATGAAATTCATGAAGTTTTTCATTTATGCAAGGGATTTGTCATTATCAAAAAGTGAACTTTGATCAAGATCAAGTTGAAAGCTCAAGTTTACAAATGTGTATAATGTTTCTTAGAATAAGCCTCTTTTCAAAGAGTGCACTTTGTATTGGTTGTTTCACTTTGTATATATTTTGCTTTGTGTTTAGTGTTAAATTAATAGATTGTCTTATAATCTTCTTGTTAGTTGACGATGATCATAAATAAGGTTTAAAATCAATTTCAAATGAAAATTTCAAATTTTTAAGTTTTTCTTGGAAACAATTGTTGGAATAATCAATTTTCTTGTAAAATAATCGATTAGTTCATAATTGACTTTAGAAATAATCAATTAAATGTCAAAATAATCAATTAAATTGTTCTTGATGTATTTTTAAATTCATGAAAAATAAAATAATCAATTATTTCATGTAGGAAGGTTTATATTGAATTTCATTTTAGAACTTAGTGTGACTTATTTTTTACACTTTTAAACACCTGAGTTTGATATTGAGTTGTGAAGTCTTGAAAGAAGACCATGAAAAATGGAGTTTTATCAATTGAAAACTTTTTTGTCATGAATCAAGAAAGCACGAGTCATCATCATTAATCACTAGTGCAAAAATTGGATTTAAAATCGGACTTTTAAAAGGTCAAACATTGAGATAAATTTTAAAGATGTGGGACTAAATTGATTCAATTAACTAAAGTGGGACTAAATTGACACTAATAAATAATATAAGGGACGAAAATTATACTTTTTCCTAAAAAAAAATTTTCTCGGAGTAAATAAATTTTTTTGAATTAAAACAATGGCTCCACTAACATAAGAGTAGAGAATTCATATTCGTAAACGTAAATCAAGGTCAAATGCGAAATTTACAAGAAAATGAAACATAGGTTTTCCTAAACAAAATAACAATAATGAAATCCTAAACTAAGCCTAGCTATGCCCCGATGTCACACATCCTATCAGAACACGCCCAACTAAATCCTATGTCGCATCACCAACATCTTCATGTTTTTTTTTTTCTTCTGTTAATTGTCAATGGAGTGGAGTGAGAGGAGCGAGACTGAGGAGTGCTTTTTTGATTTGGTGTGGGCGCGGAAATGATGTGCCTCGCTGAGAAGAGGAGTGAACCTTAATTTTTTGAAAAGGCCTCTCTCACTGTGACTGTGCTTTCTTTCACTGCCTTTTTTCTCTTGCGTTCATCAAACAGGAATTAACGCAAAACAACAAGAGCAGCTTATGTTGTATTCTTACTGAATAAGGTATATATTTCAATTTATATTTGCTTTTTAGTTACTCTCAATCTTTGAAATGCTCTGTTTGAACTAACGCAAAACATAACAGGGCAGGGATAGTTTTATCTCATAAATAATAAAAAACCGTATCATATATCAAATCAATACCAATTTCATAGTATTTTGTCCCTGTTCTCTCCCTCTAAACCTAAAACCTTATCATTTCAATCATAAACATAAATGCAGGAGTATAAGGAGTATAAGGAAACATTTTTTTTGTATTAATTTATTTATTCAAAAATTTATTTTAAATTTATGCATAAATTAATTTTAAGCATATACAATTTTTTTTTATTCATTTGTTTTTATAAAACATGTTGGGCAAAGCATCTCACATCTATTAGCCTCCCTGAAAACGTGAGCTACTGTATTCAACAGTTGACACATTGTTTGGACAGGGTTCATCCATCAAAGCTTTCTGCTGTCTTACTTTTGTAGGTGAGTGACTGCAATGGCTCCTGCTAAAGGTGAGTCTTGCATTATTTACTTAATGTCCATTTCTTTAATATTATTTATCTATCTAGCTGTTCATGTATGTAATGTTGATATTTGTGTTTTATTTGCTGAAAAAATTGGATGCTAGTAATGATATGCTTTGTGCTAAGTGTGCAAAAGATATCCCGATTGCTGATGTTGGTTACTTGGTCCGTCCATATGGTGCGTATGGTAAATGCAGTGTAGTTTTTTGGTTCTGTTTTCCTACCCTACCCTCCTTTGATTATAGGGCTCTTGAATTTCAGTGTGTGCTTAAGAACTGAATGGATATGTATGCCCAATTTAAAAAATGGGTGAAGAATATATTCTTTGTCATGTATACTATTGTGTTTGCAGTGGTTGTTCTTTGCTGAGATTTTGACAAATGATGGTGCTACATGTTGAGTTCTGTAGTATTGGACATGATTGCATAAGTATCTTGTGTTCCTTGCTATTAAATTTGCAATACCTTCCCGAGTATTATCTTAAGAAATGCCCTAGTTTTCTTTGCCAATTTATGATTGAAACTGATCACCTTTTTTGCTTGTTTGATATTCTTGTTGGTTTAGTGAATTGTTATATATGCATCATGTTATCAGCTAATGTGGAGAAAAAAGAATGCTTGATTCATGCTAACAGTGGAATTACTTTTATTTTCTCTTGGGCAGTGGACAATGCTAAAAAGGCTGATCCCAAAGCTCAGGCCTTAAAGACAGCCAAGGCTGTGAAATCAGGTGGCCAAGTTTTTAAAAAGAAAGCTAAGAAGATCAGGACATCAGTTACGTTTCACAGGCCAAAGACATTGAAGAAGGAAAGAAACCCCAAGTACCCTCGTATTAGTGCACCTCCAAGGAACAAGCTGGACCATTATCAAATTCTTAAATTTCCATTGACTACTGAGCCTGCGATGAAGAAAATTGAGGATAACAACACGCTGGTTTTTATTGTTGACCTCCGTGCGGACAAAAAGAAAATTAAAGATGCTGTGAAGAAGATGTATGACATTCAGGCCAAGAAAGTTAACACTTTGATCAGGTAATGCTAATGACTATGTATATAGATTTGCTTCATGTAAATTTGAATTATTGGAAAACAATCGAATTCATATAAGACTAGTTGTTTAACTTACAGTGGTTACTGGAAAGTATTTTCATGTGTCTTCAGAAGTATATTCACAATAACGATGTAATGATGAATCAACTAAAACTATATAATGAAGTTATGTTGTTGTGTTTGCTATTTTATGAGTATTGCATATATTATTATATTAAGTAGTGATGTTTATTTGGTGCTTTTACCAACCTGGTTATTTTCTTTATTGCAGGCCGGATGGAACCAAGAAAGCCTATGTTAGATTGACTTCAGATTACGATGCCTTGGATGTAGCCAACAAGATTGGTATCATTTAAGTTGTATTCTTGATTTGAGTAAAGTCAATTATTCATTTTTAAGATAGTTGTTCTACATGTCCAGAGTTAGGACTCCTGATCTATCCATATGTATTAACTATTGTTCGTTCAATTTTGAGAATATATTTATGAATTTACTTAAACTAGTATAATATGTGATCAAGTGTTCACTCATTTAGTTTTTAAGTCCAGAGCTATTAATAGTGAATTTAGTTCTATTCCTTATGAATTTACTTTTACAGAAAAAAATCACTACTTTTAAAACAAGTCAAACATACAAAAAAAAAATCACTACTTTTAAGATCGGTTATAAAACAACCGATCTTAAAAGTCTTGACTTTTAAAATCGGTTATGAAACAACCGATTTTAAAAGTCTAACTTTTAAGATCGGTTATGAAACAACCGATCTTAAAAGTCAAGACTTTTAAGATCGGTTATAAGATAACCGATTTTAAAAGTCTACTTTTAAAATCGGTTAATAACCGATTTTAAAAGTTCACCTTTTTTAAATTGGCTCTTTTAAAATCGGTTCCACAACCGATTTTAAAAGTCAAAAATAACCGATTTTAAAAGCCTTTTTTCCACTAGTGAATCTTGAAGATCATAGAACCTATGGTTTAGCTTTTCACCTATCTTGTGTAGGTTTCTCAAGTGGATAACATTACTTGTAGTGGGGTTTCTACAAGGCAACTTATATGGGTTTCAATAAGTGGTGTTCTTTAAATTTCTAGTACTAAATTTCATGTGAAATTCTCAAACGATTTGATTGGGATATCAGATGTAGGTCACAGTGGTTGTGACTAAACCAACATAAATCTTGTGCAAGTTATTCTTACCATTTCTTATTATTTCTTGATTATTTTATCTAAATATTATCCATGTATATGCATTATGTAGGGTAGTTTAATTGTATCTTGCAAAATCCATTTCAACATCCTTATCACAAATAAAATTAATTGAATCAATTGGAAATATTTTTGAAACATTTTAATCTAAGAAAATTTTAAGAAAATTTTTTGAATGATCCAATTCGCTTACTCTTCCCTTCCCTTCTTTGATACAACCATCTTTTCTAACAATTTTCTTAATCTTAGGGACACTAACTTCATCCAATTTATCTTGAAATCTTAAAAATTCATTTATACTCCACCTCAACCATTTGCCTTACCTTGATTCAAAGTCTCTACTTGAGCTACCAGAAAGTGACTTAACTTTAGCCTTTACTAATCTCATCTATCAAACTAATATTTATCTTTAACAAATCCAACTTACAATTCTTTAAGGGTTATTTACAAGTCAACTAAGGTTTCTGAACTTATTCTTAAAGGTTCAACTTTCTAATCATCAAGTGATGGAAAACCATTCTTGAAGACCATAGAACCTAAGCTTCTGTGGATCTATAGGCTTATTTCATAGTTCATTCTTCTTTTTGTATATTTTCATTATAAATATTTTCCTTTATTATGACCATGTATTTTGGCTCATGCAGTCTAGGTAATTTTGTCCTTGTATTGTTTTACTTAATAGTGTAATTAGTGGATTAGGGGAGGTGTAATTAGCTAAGTCTTGTTAGACTTATTTAGGCTTGGATGACCCAAATCTCTTTATGAACCATAAGTTTGGACATCCACTTGCTCATGCAAGTGGTTTGGAAGTCCAAACCATGCCAAGCTTGCCATCTAAGCTACAAATTAAGTCACATGACTTTGATAGTGACATCTCAACAAACTTGTTAAAAGTAATCATTAGTCTAGTAATTGTAATGATTAGGTTAGGTAGTTAGAGTTAACTTAAGCTAACCTAGGTTATTCTTAAACTAGGATTAACTTAGCTTGCTTCATAAGCTTCTAGACAACTAATTAGACTTGTGTACATTTAACTAGAGTTAGTTAGCTTAAGTACAAGATAGCTAACCATGGTTATGTTTAACCACGGTTAATCTAACTCGCACCATAAGCCAACTATAAACTCTATATATTGTATTTTGTACCCATGTTGTGATAATTTTGAGTATTATACATGAATTGGATGAATTTTCTCTAACTTTCTCTCTTAAAGCTTGTTTCTTTCCTTTAAACTTGATCCTTTTCTCTTACCCTCTCTTGAGTGTGGTGAGAATTGGAAGGACTTATCACTCACATGAGTTTGGTGCCACCAAGGGAGATTCCTACCCTTCCATGTGTGTTTGAACATGATTTCTAACACCTTAGGAAGCCATTGATGAAGCTAGAAGGAGAACAAGAAGAGAAATATCCGTTCTAGAAGCTTGAAGGAGGAACTACATCAATCAAGTCTCTCCTTGAGGTTTGCATCATTTGGTATCAAGAGCAAGGTCTTCTTAGTAATCTCTTTCCATAGCTTCACTATGTCTTTTTTTTTTGTTAACATGTGTTTGTTTCTTGATTATCTTGTGTTTGTATGATTTCAATTGTTCTTGTATCACATGTATAAATCTATAGAACAATTCACTTTCTCTTGTAGTTTTTTGATTCATGCATCAATTCATATGAATCAATCTTCATTGTGTGTGCTTTAGGTATTCTATGAACTAGAATTTTCTTTTTTAAGTCTTGCTTATATCTTGTTTTGTTCCATTAAAAATTCGGTCAAAAAAGAATCCTAAAAGAAAAGTGTATGATTATGTGTTTTTTCAGTTTTCTAATCTATGTAGTTTTGTCTAGTTATCTTGGTTAGTCCTTATATGTCATTACTTCCATTGTGTGCCTTTTCTTTTGAATCTTTGAATATTATTTTGTTTGTTTCATAAACATTTCTGGCTGCACATAATACAAATCTTATGATGGAATCATGCTAAGGAAGGCAAGAGGTGACAACCTAAATGATCCAAGAGGAGTGGGCTAGACATGAAGGTTTGGGCCAGTCAAGGCCCAATGGGCCCGAAGGGCCTGGAAGGCCCAATTTGAGCTTCACATGGGCCATTTCTTGATAAATCCATTTTCTTATATTTTTTACATATTATATTAGTATAGGTTTCACATATTTTGGTCTTGTATTTTGGACCACATAGAGTAGCATTTTTGGGCCATAGGCTTATTGGGCCTAGTTTTGGGCTTCATGGGCCTTTGGGCTTTTGGTACCCAATATTGGGCTCATTTTATTTGTTTTATTATTTCCTAATGTTTGTATATCTTTGGCCATTGTATTTAGTCCATTAGCATAGGAATATTGAAGGAATACTAAAATAGACCAAGAAGCTAAAATCTAGGTTTCATTTAGTAGTCATTTGAGATGCATTTGGATCACATGTTTCTTGCCAAGCATGGCTGAACATGTGCAGCTCCAAATACACTTCAAATGTCCCCTAAATGACATTTAGATGCATGGCAGCCCCATATTCACGGACAAAGCACATGGAGCCTTGAATTTGAATTCAAATTTCCATTTGAAATTTGAATTTTTGGCTCCAAAATTGGCTAGTGAATTTGGCGCCACCTAGCTTGCTTCTAGGACCTATAAGTGCTTGTTCCTTCACTCTTTTAAAACACTTTTGATATATATTGAATTTTCTGAACCATTATTCAGCTAAATTCTTCAAGAGTCACCTTGAGAGAGAGTGCCTTCAAAACCCTAGAAACTCACCTAGTTTCCTACCTTTTGAAGTGAGCAATCTCTTGTTGCTTAAGCTTGGATGCTTCCATCCATAGTTTAGGCTATTTCCATCCGTGAACATCATCCATTCAAGTGTCATTTCATTCGGTTCCAAGCTCCATTGAAGAGGTCCAAGCTTTGGTGAATCCGAGGAGAAGAACACCTACCACTTCTCCTAGTTTTTGCCATCATTTTTGGTATCAAGAGCAAGGTTCTTCTTGGAGATAAGTTTCCTTAATTTTTTTGTCTGTTTGTCTTGTTGTCTTTGTGTTCTTTTGTGTCTTGTTTGAGTTTTATTTCGGATCTATTTGTTTTTGAAAAAATTTCTATCCATAGATCCATTGATTGATTGTATTTTGACTTTCTTTCACAATCAATATGTTTAGGACCTATTTGCTTGTACTTCTTTTTTTTTTTTTTATTGAGTCTCTCATCTCCTAAGCATGTGTCCATGATTGGACTTCATCCATTGCATTAGATTTTTGTTTTTGAATCCTTGTTTTGTCTTAGCAAGTTGTGTTTAGTCCTTTTCATGTTGAAAATTCCTAGACTAGCTTGTTGACCTAATTTTTTTTTGTTGTTTGTGTCCGAAATTTTTTGCATATTTTCTTATTGAATATGAACCTTACCTATATGTTCTTTTGTTTTAAATATTTGTGTTCATAATTTGCTATTAGTTCTAGCAAATTTCCTAGAGTTAGGTTTCTATTATGTCTTGTTAAAAGTTTTGTCAAAAAAAAATTACTAAACACTAATTCCTATTAGGTTTCCTTGAGTCTTATTGTGTGGCTGAAACTTTTAACAAATCTTATACACTTAAAACAGAGGCAAAACAGAGGTGTTTGTGTTCTAAATGCATGAGAAAAAAACAAAAGAATGAGTGCTTAAAAATTTGACCTAAAAACACTATAAAATTGTGAAGCACTAGTTACAAAATGCAAGTGAACACCTCTTGTTTTGTGTGAAAATTTTTGCTGCAGTTTTTCTAGCCTAAGGTCGAGACCTATAAGTTTTAAAAAGGCATTTAAACTCCTGATTAATCAAAGAAAAAGAAGTGAAAAATATTTTGCAAAAAGAAAAGAAAGAAAATAGCAAAAGAAAAAGCCAAAAGGAGTGAAAAATCTTGTATACCTAGCTCTCGGTTTTGGTGTGTTCTTGTCTATAATTTTTTCAGTCCAGCCACATATTTTGTGTCTTATTTTTGTTTTTAATCTTAGATTTGTTTTGTAATCTACTCTAGTGCCTTTGATAGGTTATCCTTTGTGTGCTAGCTTCTTTTTAATTTTTGGCTAATCTTTGAGTCTTGTCTTAAACACCTTACTCTTCAATTTTGGTATAAGCTTTATAAATTGTGCTTTTGTTGCTTGTCTTGTTTTCTTTGATTAAAAATTCTGTGCTGGAAGTGGCCTCAAATCCTTGCTTAAGGATCAAACATTGACTCAACAAAAAGTAGGAAAGAATTGGTCACAAACTACTTTGAAATTTGACATAATTTAGTGACCAAAACTTTCCTAAACTATCTTCACAAGAGTGATCATTCCCTTAACCTTGTGAGCAGCCTACATTCATCACATTG